TGATTATCATGTGGTTTTCTTTTAGATGTAACGCTAGCTTGATTAATCGAGTTCTTCTAGTTTAATTTCGGAGGGATTCTGGATTTTGAACTTGATTAAGAATTTTTATTTTATTATGTCAACAAGAATTCTTCTAGCTTTTTTTCTTAGAAGTTCATTGGATTAGGTTCTTATTTCCATCTCTTTGAAGGATTTCACACTTAACTAGCAGGTGTTAGATGAAAGTACCACGTTGGCTAATTTAGGGAATAATCATAATCAAAGAATACTATCTCCATGGGTATGAGGCCTTTTGGAGAAGTCCAAAGCGAAGCCATGAGAGCTTAGGCTCAAAGTGGACAATATCATACCATTGTGGAGAGTCGTGTTCATCTACCACAGGAACTAGTTTTCCATCCAGATATTTGCATGTTTACTTAATATTCTTCTTCTGCCATTACATATGGAGGTGTCATCTATCTTTCTATTTACCTCTCTGTTTTTTCCCTTAGATTTTTGAAAAGATTGGAAGCATCGAACACAATGATATCATATATCTGGTGGGTTTTTGGATTCTATTGGATTGTCACGGGTGGTCAATCTCTTTTGGAAGGCTCTCCCCGGCTCTACTGGTAAATGCTCCCTCCTAAGATCTTGAAACCCTTTTTCTCTTGCTAAAGTCGTCTATGGTTTAAGATCAACTTAGTAGAATTATGATATAAACTGGTAAACGCTTCTAAAATTCAATCAGATCTGCTAGTTTTCTTGAATTATTTTGTGGGGATAAATACATCTTGAACTATACGACCATGTTGATGGCAAGGATTGACCCGTTGAAGTATCTCTTTGAAAAGCAATGCCCGTGTATTTTTTGATCTCGATTCTTATATTACTTGCAAATGTGCGAATGAAAGCTGTCAAGACTGAAAAAAGTATTCAGGCTATGTTATCATATCATTGTTTAGCTAGTTTCAGTTTCTTCTTGTGTGCCTGTGGCTGTTTCCCGTGGGTTCGGCATTGTTTCGTGCTGTTGGCTATTTGGTTATGTTGTTTTAATCGTTTTATAGTCGTTTTTGTGTGTGGAAACTTCTCATTTAACTTGATAGAAGTCACATATGATGTCTCGCTAATGGACTCATGATATGAACCGCAGGTTGGCAGTGGTTTTCCTAGCCTTTGATGTGTTCTTTATTATCTTCTGCACTGGGATGGCTTTTGTTGGTTTCTTTACTGTTTGCTGCATAATACCATTTTTAGCATATGGCTATACCATGACATTCCTAGAAGGTGCCTCTGAAGATGAAATTAGAGCACTTCCCAAGTACAGGTTTCGCCAAGACAATCCACTCGAGTCGTTCGACAGTGACAAGAAACATGAAGTTGGGATGACCTTGGAGCCTGGCTACAATGGTTATACAACTGAACACCTTCTAAATACAGAGGACTCGGTGAGCAGCAGTTTTATTTTTTACTTGCATTCTATTTTCATCTATTAGGAACCAACATAATAAATGAGAACACACTACAACGGTCCAAGCCTACTGCTATTTGATGTCCTCTTTGAGCTCTCCCTCAAGGTTTTTAAAACGGGTCTGCTAGGAAGAGGTTTTCACACCCTTATAAAAAATGTTTCGCTCTCCTCCCCAACTGAGGTGGGATCTCACATCTTCAAACTCATAAAATAGACATCTCGTATCATTCCTTGAACAAAATTTTCCTATTTTAAACATATGCCTATCGACCTGTTAACTATTGTTATACATGTAGGTCTTGTAGCGAAACAAGGGATCCGTGTTCCTGTTGCAAAATAGTTTGAGTTTTTCTTTAAATGCTTTATCCGACTCAAACAGAGTCATGGTTTTTTGTTTCGGAATGACGTTTTTTTTTTCCTCGTAATGCCTTTGTTATGTACCCTTGTAGGACTCTTTGCTATGTGATTAACTCTACATTGTATTATAATCGTAGGCATGCTGCATATGCCTTGCCCAGTATGTACATGGAGTACAATTGTGCATGCTACCCTGTAGTCATCATTTCCATACTCGATGCATTGTCAAATGGCTTCGAATAAACGCAACCTGCCCCCTCTGCAAGTTCAGCGTCGGACATGGCGATTCCTTGGTCTGATTCACATATCGATCGAGTTGGAGCATTCTCGAGATCTGCCGAGATCTCAAATGGAAACACACACACAGAGAATTACATGAATCATCTCTTGGAAGAAAGGTACAAGTTTCCTAAAGGGTCACTCAAAGTGTAGATAGCTTCTTCTTTTTTCTTGTTCCCTTTCCCTTTTAGATTACTTAGGAGATGATATCAGTGGGGAATACTGTGAATATACACTTTGATGCACAGCTACTAACTTATATGTCACTAAGAGACCACTTAGTTGATAGTAACATTTAGTAGATAAAAGGCAAAAAGAAGCCATTTGTTTACTCATAACCTCATCTCATCTCATCTCATCTCATCTTAAAAGAGGTTTTAAAGGCTGAGTGTGTTGGGTATGCGTTTAATGGATGGTTTTAGTGGAGATTGTGGAATTGGCAGCCATGTTGTAGTGGTTTTTCTTAGTAATTTATGTCTTTAATTTGTTTTTTTTTTTTTTTAATCTATTTGTTTAGGGAAGTGTTTGTGGGGATTCTTTTTTTATCAACCAATTTGAGAGAAACACATTCATACTCCACTAAATTACATGCCACTTATGTGATTAACTTTATAGCCTTTGTTTTTATTTTATTTTTTTACTATTTATCAATTTATTTTAATTTATAAAAAAATTAATTTAATTGATTACTCGAGTATGATTTTATGATTTTATTTAAGTATCTTTCTTAATTCTTGTCGTATAATATAATAGTTAATCTTGTTAATTCTGGAATGATTAGATGATGAGCAATCTCTCGAGTTAAAAGATCTCTTTCCATTATCACTAATAACGATCTTTGGCACATGCCTCACATTAGAATAACATGTCGACCTATTTTCCCTTCTAACTGCTTCTACTCGACCATAATCTTCACGAAGACGACATAAGATTGCTGGCCAAAGTGATGAGATATTCTTGTTTGGGTTATCCTCTGAAACTTCTTTGAAAAACTTCTCAAGTGATTCAAGGGGAATATCGATCTTGGTGTTCTTAAATATCAAAACCTTCTTTTAACTAAATTTAGTTTCGAAATTTGGAGGTTGATTGATATTCACCTGTTCCAATCAAATTAAATGAGACAAATTAACAATATTCGAGTAAATCATTTATGCATGAACCAATAAAACTACATTGGGAGGTGGCTATTCGAGTTTTAAGATACATCAAATGCGGTCTATTTCTGGGTTTTGCATTTTTATGAAATTCATATATTTCTTGTAAGTCTAAAAAGCAAACAAACTTTTCGAGATCATCTGAGTTTTGCATCTCTTTTGGAAATTCAATTATTCTTAGAAGTGTAAAAAACAAAGTGTCTAGATCATCAGTAGGAGTCGAGTATTGAGCTATAGCAAATACTTGTTTAGAGTTAATTTGATTGAGATATATTTTTCAATACTTGAAAGCTCTACTCTTCGAACCAACATTGTTGTATGCTGTTAATCAAGCAGCATTACATATAACAACCAATCCAATTTGTCATGAACATATGAAACACATTGAAATAAATTGCCAAATAGTTTAGAAAAAGTTACAAGTTGGAATTATCAAACCATGTTATGTTTCGACTAAAATGCAATTGACAGATGTTTTCACTGAACTTTTAGGAATACAGAGGGTAGATGGTTAGGTTGGTTGAAGAAATCTTTTGAAACAATCTGAAATTTTGAGTTGTTTGGAACAGTGATCTTTGCAATGGAAAGTCTTCACAACCTAACCCAACCGAACCCTCTATTTTCGGGTTGGGATCTCATATTGTTTTTTAAAATTATTTTAAAAAATTATACCAACATACTTAATTTTATAAAACTCAAATATTAATTATTCATAAGTAACAATTTATCATTGTGGAAGTCAAATATTCTTAATCATTATAATAATTTTGGAAATAAGGTAAGTTTGTCAACCTCCCAATCGTCCTAAATTTTTCGTTTTTTTTAAATTCAACCCACCCGAAACTATATATATATATATATAATATATATATATATATATATATATATCAAGTGATTGGGTTTCGAGAGCATTCCACCAATTTTTGGCAACTTTCACTTTCAACCCGATTCACCACCCACGTGCCCTTTACGCCCAGTCATTCTGCCCGTCTTACCGCGGCTGTTGGCACGAAGTTAGCTAGGGCTTCTTCCTCTAGTCTTATCATGATCGCGCACTCAACGAAAGAGCTTTACAAGCGGCATTGCCCTTCTTCACTCACTCGATATTGCTGGATCGGGCTTTCGTTCATTGTCCAAGATTCCCCACTGCTGTCTCCCGTGGGAGTCCAAGCCGTGTCTCAGTCCTCATGTGGCTGATCATCTGAAAAGACCAGCTAAGCATCATTAGCTTGGTCAACCTTTACCTGACCAACAACCTAATACTATGCAGGCTCATCAAACAGCGCCTTTTTGCTTGATTCAAGATTTGGCTCGAATTGCTCGGCAGATTCCCACGCGTCACGTACCCTGTTTGCCACTTTGTTCTCAACTGTTCCCACCCCTTTTGAAAGACGAGACAAGCTATCTTTTTAAAATCCAACCCACCCGAAAACTATATATATATAAATTAACTTAACCCAACCCAACTTAATTTTTATGGTTTGAGTTAGATAATTCGTGTGGTTTGGGTCATATGACCGTCCCTATCAAATTGACATTTTAAAACTATATATTATCATTAAAATAAGCCATAATTCAAAAACTCTCCTAGAAGAAATATAAAGTCAAAAGCAAAGCCCCTATTGCGAAGGAAGAACAAATATAATTAATAATTATTAATAATAAAGTAATAAAAGCTTCTGTCCAAAATAATCAAAATAAATAATAATTTAACAAATAACAAATAACAAATAACAAATAACAAATAACAAATAAAAAAAAAAAAAAAAACAAGAACAATAAATAAATTCAAGCAGGAGGAGAGCAGTTTTCTTCGAGGACAAGTTCGAGCGCGAGACGGATGCAATTACCTGTGTTTATTCAATTCGAATTCAATTGACTTCGACTTCCTTGTTAAGCAACGCAATTCGGAATAAATAGGGCAGTTTCTGAGGATTTCTTTGTGAGGGACACTCTTCGATTTATGTTTGTTTTGGGAAATTTTGATTGATTGGTTGATTCGCCCCTTCAATTCAAGTTTTCAGGTAGTACTTGTTTGTTTCTGTGCCTCAATTTGTAACTCATTGATTTCTGTATGAATTTTTCTCTGTTTAGCTCAACATTGTGCCGTTTTCGATGTCCTTGAGCAGCTGTTTTTCACTTTGTATCGCTTTGCTGTTCAATTGTTAAGGAATTTAAAGTTCTAGTTATGAAATTCGATGTTCCTTCTGTACTAGACTCAGAATGCTACCACGTGCTTGATGATGGGTATTTTGTATTTGGGGGGGTTTATCAATTGTGGAACTGAAGGTATTTTTGATTGATATATAGCAGGGTGATTAAGAAGTTATTTAATGACTTCAAGAACTTTAAGGAGGAGGCTCCATCATGGTGATGTTGATGGCAAAAGAAATGAAAAATATGATGCTTCTGGCTTCGAAGGTTTGAGTGAGCCTCTGCTTGGCAGCCATGAATATAGTGATAGAAGCTCGGAGGTTAGAGCTTAATTCCTTTTTCTCGCCTCCTTACTCTTTTCCCCTGTTGGAATTATCCTTATCCTGTGCTTTATAAAGTGTCCTGAGTGCTTATGCTATCATGTTCTTTGTTTATTTTTCCTTTAACAGTCTTTGGCAGTTGATTCCTTCGTTGTTTTTCTTATAAAAGGTACGCACACTTGAAGATATTTGGGACGATGAGCGGAAGAAGCAACAGCTACACTGGACACTTCTGTTTTCTCAGTTGATTGCACAATGGGCTCAGTGGATAGGTATAGTTCTTTTCTTAGAATGGATTCTGTTAATACAAGATACAGCATTCAGATTAGTTTAACTAATTTGTAGTCACGGACTCATGGGATCTGATAGTTCGGCTGAAAGATTTGTAATGAACTGAAAAATATTTCATACTTTCAATTATTTTCATGAATTGGAGGGAAAGAATTTATCGGCTTCAGTGATTTTAAAAATGTTTTATGTTCAAACAATAAATTGAAAATTATCTTGTTTATCTCATTATTCATGATTCTTCCTTTTAAAACAACATCATATATATATATATATATATATATATATATATTATAATTTATATGGTTAGACAATACCATATGGACACATCACCTGCTATCCCTTCACAAAAATCCTGGTGTATCCTTGTGTTTGTGTAACTTCTCTTGATCAACATTTATATTTTTTAAATATTCGAGACTCAAAGTTATCGCAGTAGTTGTGTTACTTTAGTTTTTATGAGGAGCAATACTACAACAGTTTTGGTCTTTGTTTGTATACACTTCTTTTAACTCTAGCAACTACTAGAATAAGGTACTTTATTTATGTTATAGCCTTCTTCCTTCAGCATGTAATGTTACATTTTATATAACTGTTTTGAGTGGCCTGTGAGCTAATTGTCTGTTCAAGTTAGGGAGGGATAATTTGTTTTTGAAAATACTGTTCTCTTGGAAAACGCATGATTGTGAAACAAAGTATGAAACTTCAAGTAGTTTGGAAAATACTTCCACGAGGTTAGGGCTTTCCATTGACTTCCTATGTTAGTTGGATTATAGTAGTCCAGGTAATTCTTTCAGTAATGATGCTAGCTGAAATGAGAGGATATCTACTGTTGAAGATCATCAGTATTTTCCTACATTAAGAATGAAGTAATTGATCTTAAACGGTGGATAGAGGTGTGGTTGGAAGCAAGGGAAGAAAAGGAGCTCAAAGGGAAGTCTTTAATGTGGTTGGACAGTATTTTATCTCAATAGAGAAAGTTGTTTATCCCAACTAAGAGCTGTTGTAGATGGAGAAACTAAAGAGTATTTGGAGGAATTTTTCTTTGAAGAAATAAGTTAGGTGGAGAATAACTTTCCCCATCAATGGCTTGAGGTCACAAAATACCAATCAAGATAGACCTCCCCATATTTTGATTACCACCTGCTCATCAAGGACTTCTTTGATTGATTCAAATAGTTGAGAATATCAATATTTTTGACTATTTCTATATGGATATAGTTGAGGATTATCAGGTAAACTAATTGCTTATTAGTAGAAACTTACAAGTAAGGGGGTGCATCAACTTGGTGGGAGAAATTACAGAACAGTCAGCGGAGAATTGAAACGATAGCAATCTGATGATTGTGGAGAACAGAACTTTTTGGATAACTTGGTTTTTACAATTGGGTTATGAATGCATACTACATCTACAGTTTTAGCACTCTCAGCTGTTGCTTTAACTTGGACAGGATAAATAGAGAACATGTTTGATGGTACACCATAGGACATGAGACTATACTAAATACTATTTGGTTCTCGAATCAATTCTTTTGAGGCTATGAATTTAGTTCAAAGAATGGATAGCAAGTCTTTGAAATAAGCCACCTATAGGTTTTTGAACTCTATCCGTTGGGGTCTCTATTTAGACTTTGGAGAAGGAGCCGAAGCATCAGGTTTCCATAAAAAAATGTTTTTTTTTTCTTAAAAAGGGTATAAAATATTCTCGGAGAAGTATTTGGAGGCATCCTTCCTGTTAAATCTCAAGCCAGCTTGCACGAAAGAGAGATACAAGCTGTAGAACTCAAGCTCTCTTCTCTTGAGAAACAACAGAACGTGTTAGATAATACTGAATGGGGGCTGTGAGCAAATTTTTCTGTTTCATGGAGGAAATGGAAACTTCAAAAGGAAAATATTTCAATACTAGAAAATGCTTGTTAGTGTATTAAGGAATGCATCAACCATTTTAGCTATTAATTTGTCTTAATCGAACATTCTATTGCTTAGATTTGTCAAAATTCCTTCACTTTGTGGAACCCAAGTGGCTTTCATAATGATATTGTGTAATTTTTGTGAATTTAGTTTCTATATAATGAATTGATGTGGTGAACTCAGAGAAATGAATCGATGGTAGAGTATGTTGATCATGGTCGACTAATACTGTCTTAATTTTTGTAGCAAACATTGTCTTTGGTTCTGGAGCACTCTTTGGTCGACTTTTGCCATTTTCTATGACCACGCACAATGGAAAAAACCATAGGGTGGCTCCACCTCTTAGTCTTCTACAGGTAAATGAAGTTTGGATTCCTTATTCTCCTGAACTTCCATTGCAATTTAATCAAAGTAATTCTGTTTTGCAAGAAGTTTCTTAGCCGAGGTCTGATTATGATTTAATAAAATTTTCTATATTGGTTTTCTAGGATGTCCCGTTATTAATTGGAATGATGTTTCTTACTTAATTGATACAATTATTAGTCTACACACTTGTGCGTGAGAAATATGCTTTAACTGATTTCAAACATAAGGTCTAAACTGGTACTATGCTAGTTTTATTGATAATTTTAGCAAATTCACTTGGCTTTTTCTCTTACCTATAAATTTGATGTGATTGCTATTCTACAAAAATTTATGCCCTCGTTGAAATCTTCTTTCTAAAAATAAAAATCTGTAGATCTGATGGTGGTGGCGAATTTCACAATTATTCTGTTCGCTCCTTTTTTCATTAAAAAGGATTTTAAATAAAAAATCATAAACATCGTCATATTGTGGAAACTGCAATGTCTTTAATGTATCATTTGTCTTGCAGTTTCTCTAATTGGCCGAATGTCATTTCCATCTCAAAACAGGGTTCTCCCTTTGAGAAACTTTTAGGCTACACTCTTGATTTGCATCATTTAAAAGTTATCAATTTGCTAAAATTCAGTCGCCGTCGGTCTAAATTATCAATTTTTTCGTTTCAAAATATAACTTCCAACCAACTTTAATATTCAACTAAGAGAATCACCTCACTTACATTTGTTGTGTCAGTTTGTCAAGTTTAATGGTTTGATATACTTCCATGGTCTTTTGTATTGCCATCTTTTTGAAGGTAGACTATCTGTTAACAAATTTTAAAATCTCTCTGTTACATAGGAAGAAAGACTCAGGAATTTAAAGCAAAGGCTGGAAGTTCCCTTTGATGGATCTCGTGTTGAGCACCAAGTAAGTCAACATTTTAATGGTATTTCAAATTTTATGGATTTTGTACATATATGTTATTACCCTCGTTCTCTTTTGATGCTTTGAAATTTAAGTATTCCTGCAAGCTATAGTTATGAAATTCTTCTCAGACTTTGTAACAAAGTGAATCCTTCGTTTGGTAATTGAATTTACTAGTTTGAACATTTCCATTTCTTGTGGTTCATGGATTTAATCAAGCTTACTCAGCTACGACTCTCATGAACATTAACTTTCATTTCTGTTCATCTTTATTATATCTTGTCCATTTTGAGGTCTTCTGTCTGTGCTTGTATGTTTGTTTCTACATAATCACCAAAATTTTCTGTCCGGTAATATCCAAGTTAGTCTGACCTGCCTGCCTGATAGTTCCAATATCATACGTAACTTCTGTTAGTCATGAGATCGATAAGGCACTGGTTCAATTTAGAGTAATGCAAGAAGGAAAAAGTGGTCCTGAGGAGAATTAGACTGGGAGTTTGAGAGGTGGGGAAAAGGGTGCTTCAAAAATTACGTTATTCTGAACAAGCCTATTCCATGTGTACTGATATCAGATATGTTTGATCATGGATCCTTAGTAATTATAAGGAATTAATGTTTTGATGGAATTTCATCGTATTACGTCCACTTTAAGGAAAAGAAGGGGGCTATTATTGGTAAGAGTTGGGATATGTTTACTCAAGTTTGAAGGGTACGGATACTCTTATAACAATTGAAAATAATTTTAGAGAGCCAAACAATTCAAGAGGGCCAACGTTTCCCCCCACTCTACGTCACACAAAGCAAGTACAAGAGGTAAAAAAAACATAGTCCCCTTATTCTATGCTCCCCTACCCAGAACACCAAATCACATAAGTGCATACAGATTAAAAGTAAATGGCCTAATAGAGGTCTCCCTTATATAAGCACTTTGTATAAGTTCTTCATTAAAAAATGCTTGCTAGTGAAACATTTTGTTGTTTGGTTACAATATTTCAAAAGCTTTTTTGACCTAATTAGAATTAACTTTTGAAGGATCAATATTGACTTAACAAATATTTCCAAAATTGAAGTGACTAAAATTAAAATAATTGAAAATATTGAAGAGAGAATCTATTATAATTTTATGAAGCTTATGGTTGGGAAGGAAATTCTTGAGGTGCTAATGGGTTTTCCTTTTAAAACAAGGCTAAGATGTTAAGGAATTGGGTGGCTTGGGCACTTTATTGTTTTTTCTTTTTCTTTTTTTGTATGTGTAAGAAACTGCTTTCATTGAAAACAATGAAAGAATAAACAAGGGCACACAAAAAAGCAAGCCCCAACCCGAAAAGGGAGCCTCCCCTAACTACAAAAAAAGACTCCAATCTTAAAGAATAAGACCAAACTCATAATTACAAGAAAAGCTTAGTGATTGACACCCACAAGGAGGCATCGAACCTACCCACCTCCGAACTTCTTCACCCGATCTTTCCACCTCTCAAAAGTTCTATTATCATCTCAATCTAGATGCTCCACAAAATTGAAAAGAAACTAGCCTGCCACAAAACTATATCCCTCTCTTTGAATGGAGAATGTAAAAGCACCTCTCCGATTGAGCCCTGCCATCTCAATTCAAAACCCAAGAACTCCAAACACCCTCAACCAACAGCTCCAAAGGTTTATCCCTCAATATCCTTAGCCTGCTTTTTGTTTTTGTGTCTTTAGTATATGTTTCCTCTATTTCTTATAAAAGATGAAAATGAAAATAATTAAAATTGCAAGGAAATGAAATAATGGAGAGAAATATTTGTGGAGAGAAGTGTCGTTTATTTCCTTTTTTGATCAACTAGGAATCTTTTGTATTTACTTTATTATATTAGCAAGTAATTTTATTTGTCAGTGAGATTATGTACTTCTCAGTTATTAATTTTTCTTGTACTTAAAGAAACCCTCGTCTTTCATTGCAAATAACAACGAATAACAGAAGACATTAATTTTCTCGATATTTTAAATGGTATCAGGACAAGTGGTCTTACATTCAAACTTCTGTATTGTCATTTCTTCTTTTGAATATTGATTTCCACTTGCTTGGGCCTCCTACAAATTTTTAAGCTGTTTAAAGTATTGCTATACTTAAATTTACTGATCCATTAGCACACTTCTTGGTTGATTGGTATTTAACAAGAAGCTAACAAGAGATGTATAAGGTAATAAGAGAGAGTGTAAAAGAGATTTTACTAGAGATTAAGGTTAAGTGTTTATATCAAAAGTTTTGATATAGCACCTAACAGTTGCGTCTTTGAAAAATACTTCCGTCCGCAATAGGGAGTGCTTTTACGCATTTAAAAATATTTTTTCCCTTGTTGACGACTTAAAGTGCACTTCATAACACACTACATTTTTTGGATGTTAGGCTGACTACTTTGTGTATCTCTCTTTGGTTCGTATAGCAAAGCTTCTTATACCTTCAGTTTTTAATACAATTAAAATGGATGATGATTAGGAAAGAAAAAAAACTATATATGGTGACAGGAATTTGGCTATTTACTTCTACATTTCTATATGGAAAAATAAATGAATTCATGCATTGTAGGATGCTCTTAAAAGGTTATGGAGGTTGGCATATCCAGACAGGGAGCTTCCACCTCTTAAATCTGAGCTCTGGAAGGACATGGGTTGGCAAGGTACAGATCCTTCAACAGATTTTAGGTGAGTACAATCTATTTATTTTTCTAAGAAATACTTCGTTTGTTTAATCTCTCTTCTGTTAATATCTATTATTCTTCAATATTCTTGTAGAGGTGGTGGATTTGTTTCACTGGAAAACCTTATCTTCTTTGCCCAGAAATATCCGGTTTGATTCCTTTTCCCGTGTTGTAATCTTTTCTCCACTATTGTTCTATAGCATTATATGATGATTTTTTTTATCATTCTTGTTTGAAGCTCTGTCTATCCGTTTATGTTCATATACCTGATTCCCTTTAATTAGCATATAGTAATATATGTAAATATTTAATTACTGTTACCCTTACTGTAGTCGCTTCAAGAACCATGGAAATGAATTACTTCATTAGTGGTTAAAAGCACGATATGGAGAAGCATTATGTTTTTATAGTCCTTTCAGTGAGGAGCCACTTTATGAAGCTTTGGGGTTAAAAATAGTTAAAAAGTGTACTGTAGACCGTTCCTCCTATTGCGTTCAGACTGTTACTTTCACCTATTGCGATCGACTGTTACTTTCTGAATATGTACTGCTAGAAACACTAAGTATATCTTGCTTTGGAAATGAGCATGCTAGTCGATCCTGCTTTGTGAATCGTGTTAATTAGATCCAAGTGATATTATCTTTTTCCTTTTGGCTAAATTAATAAGATACAATCTGTGATTCGTCCATGACATGGTCGGTTGGATTTCTGTACAGGAGTCATTCCATAGATTGTTGTATAAAAAAGATGGTCAGAGAGCAGAGTGGGAATATCCATTCGCCGTCGCTGGTATCAACATTTCATTTATGTTGGTGCAAATGTTAGATCTCCAATCAGGTAAGATGATCAATGAAATCTGATTTGTGAAATTTGAAGGACTTAAAATTACTGTACCTCATTAAATTGCATACTTCGAGTATGTTGGTGCCACTCAAACATTCTCGGGCGAGAATCTCGAGCCCTTAATAAACGACAGAAGTGATATTTTGTTGCAGGGAAGCCAAGTTCATCAGCTGGGATCCGTTTCTTAGAACTTCTAGAGAAGGACGAGATGGCATTTGATAACCTGTTCTGTATAGCCTTCCAATTGATGGATGCTCAATGGCTTGCCAAGCGCGCTTCCTATATGGATTTCAACGTAAGTGTTGGAGCATTCGAGCGTATAGATGTTGAAATGAAGAAGCCTTAATCTTATGTTCTGTAACTTTGGTTTTAATCTTCAGGATGTTTTGAAGTCTACCAGAAGTCAGTTAGAACGTGAGCTTGAACTTGAAGATACCTCAAGTGTGAAAGAACTGCCAGCATACAATCTCTTAAGAAGATAATATTCTTCTTCTTCTCCCATCATTAACTTCTATCAGCTATAGTTCTGCCATCTCATCTGATCTGATCTGATCTGATCTTCCTCGTCTCCAATTTCTATGTCACTTTCTAACAATTGCATTGTAATAAAATTCAAAAAGGGGACAAAAAGGGGAAAAAACCACACCTTCAATCATGAAAATAGAGTAAAGTTGTTATGAATCTCCTTTCTAGTACCAAGTCTCAAGGCATTGTATCTTTAAATGGAATTGGATACTCCTCGAGATAATCCTCTCTCTCCATATCTCTCTCCTTAGCGTGGAATATTTGAAGATCTGACCTCTTGGCTAATGATATTTTGACTTATAAAATTTGCTAGGCTTAGATTAGCCTCTCTTCCATCTATATGTTTTTCTTTTAATGATAGGTTCTATGTTTGGAAAATTATTGGTTTAATTATCATTGTTAGTTTTATTTCTTTAAAATAAGTCTAACTTTCTTTAACAATTTTTTTAACAATTTTTTGTGTGTTTTTGTTTCACTTAGTAAAAAATGGTATCGTAAATTTTGGGTCGTTAAAATAAGCTATGCTGAATGGTAAGAAAATTGAGTTAAATTCCCGCAGCGAGAGGATCACAAGAGGAATTCGTTTCATTTTTCGGCTTGACTTACTAATTACCGAGTTCAATCAACCACCTATTCCTATTCTATTCATGGAGAAGAAACCTTTGTTGTTAATGGAGGAAATAATTTTTAGGGCAAAATTAGAGAAACAATGATATGAAACTCGAATTCTAGAAGAACAAAGACCATAAGATCTAATATATACATAAATCCAAAAAAAAAAAAAAAAAAAAAAAA